CGCCGAAACAACTTTTGGTAATATACCATAACACAAGCTCAACATTGAGTTGGGGGAGCGGGGGCTAAAGAAGCGCAACATGATTCAACATGAAGTTTATCATAAAAATATGGGAACTTTGTATGGGGGGGGGGGGGACAGTCTCAACCAGTCATGTCCACGATTGTAGTCATGAGTACGGCAGGCCGTCAAGGAACACTTGACAAGTGTACAAGAAATACTTCTATATTGTTTTGACAAAAAAGCAGCCTTGTATATACATAAGTTTAGCAACATTATGTGCACACGAGCAACAACTTGTTGAGGGAAAGTTGTCAAGGAAAACTTGTTGACCATACACACGAGAAGGTAAACTTTTCAAGGAAATTTGTCAAGGTAAACTTATTCATCTGTATACGGGGCTTAAAACAGTACACCTTCAGCCCACCTGACAATGAGAGCCTTGAAGAAGCTCTTATAAAACTGTAAGCCAACATGGCTGCCTTATAGACCTCGTCTTCAGCTCGGTCAACAACGAGTGTGAGCAATGCTCTGTTATTTGCCATCGATTTAAAATACAAAGTCTGCGTCAAATCGGCCAAATACTTGTTCCTTCGACTTGTGTACACACTCCATGTCCTAGCCAGCAACAAGACTGTAATGACTGTTGCGATCGGTAAGACCCCAACGTGGTGGTCGGCCATTAGGGTTATCAATTTTACCACAGCTGTGGTTATCCCGATGCTTAAACTTAGCCCTACCAAGATCTGGTCGAACCGTGTCATTTCAATTTTACCCTCGGGCAATAAGTGTTCAAGATTCGGACATGGTATATCTTTAAAAGTTTTCAAGATCAACTTTCGTTGGTTTTTCGTTCTGACAGCAATGATAACACGCTTATATCTTTCTCTTGTCGATGGGCGACCGTAGACTTGGTATCGAACGGACTTTCGAGCCTTGCGAGCCAATCCTATGGTTTTGTCATCGTCCTGCATGTCTTTGCCGACTACCCAGATTCGTAAAATGTCGTACTTGCTGGGATCTACTTTGACCAGCACCCCATCTCCTATATCGTGTTCTTTCAACGCGTCTTGGACGGCCTCCTGGGGGAGTTCGTAGAAGCCTGCCTTATATAAAACTTTGCTAAGTTTTTGGAGCAAAAGGTATTCTCTGTCTTGACGTTCTTTCGTACCAATATACCTCGTCACTAATGTCTCTTTGTCCGGATTCAACGGGTCGTACAATGACTGTGAAAAAACAAAAGTATTATAGTAATATAATATAATGGTTTGTTGCCAGTATATAGTAAAACCCCGCATATAAGAACCTAGATTTCCAAGTTAGCCTAAACAGGTTCTTACGTAAGAATTAACCGGTGGGGTTAGGCACATAGGTCAGGGGGCAGATCATTAATGAGGTATGGACTAATAGCGGTTGCTTAATAAAGCGCCATTTGTAAGCTCACAGTCTACCTCGGTCTGCTTCACGCTAGTTCCGGCTCTAATGTAACCAGTCACTGAAAAACCCTGATAGGGAGTGTGCTGAGTAATATATGTATGAAAATGTATGTAATGCTTACCAGGAAATTAGGCTAAACAGGTTCTTAAAAATAGGTTCTTATTTTCTTAAGAGAAAAGCGATTCATTTTAGGGAGGTATGGTATATTATTTATATACATTTTGCACAAATGATCTAAATGGTATGAACTATACCAACTCTATATATGTACTTTAAAGCTACACTGATTGGAACTTATGACCTAATTTTGACTCTATTTGATAATATAAGAATCTGTTTTGAAATTCTAGTCCGAACAGGTTCTTATTTTAAAGGGGGTGTAAATAAAATATTTTAGCGTAACAGGTTCTTAAATTCTAGGTTCTTATATGCGGGGTTTCTTCATCTGACAAACTATCTACAGCAGGTGAAATTAAATATATGGGATTTGTAGATGAAAATTTCCAGTGGAATTTTTATATCGATTTCTTAGACCTAACCGGGAGCAGTTGCTAAAAATGCAACAATCGCCCCTCTGGCGGGAATCGAACAGCCTCGTCCCCAGGCACTTTGTTTTGCTGCGCCGTTCCGTGAGCTGGGAATCGAACCTGCAGCTTTGCGATTCCGGTGCAGCGCTCTAACCCACTGAGCTACAAAGAGACACTGAGATATTGCGCTCTAACCCACTGAGCTACAAAGAGACGGTTATTTTCCTCTAACCACAAGTTCATGTATAAATACTAAGGTGATGCCAACCCCAGTAGGAAGGGTGTGTTTGCAGTGTTGCAATATACCAATATGCAGGCTTTCTGGCATCCTTGTGTAGAAAAGTAGGACAAAAGTAGGACTAGAATTTTAGAAAAAGTAGGAATAAAGTAGGAAAATGTGTAGAAAAGTAGGACAAAAGTAGGAGTTTTGGAGATGCAAATAACACAATTGTGTAAATTTTTGGTGCTCAATATTTTTATGTACTCGTTCACCTATGCAGCATTTTTTTCTCAAAACTTTTAAATTGCATCGGTATAAAAGCTAAGGCATCTGCTCCGCAGCAACACAATTCAAATGCATGTATTGGGCTACACAATGCACCAATCCACACTGCGGCAGTAGCACATATCAGGGCCGTAAGAAGCTCTTTTCGATTGTGGGAGGGGAGGCTGAAAGCGAGGGCCGAAGGCCCGAGGAAATTTTTAAATTTAGAATCTCTGAAATGCCATTTCCTGGACTTTGGGGAAGATTTGACAGAATTCTAATGGTCAAAAAACAGCGTTTTAGTATGTCGAAATTTACAATTTAGTAGTACTAAATGAGCAAAGGCGTATTTAATTAACTATATATTGGATAAGTTGCAGGAAAGTATGGGTAATATCTCCATTCTTTGCAGTTTGTCATGGATTAAATGATAAAGGTCTGCATCAAGATTTTGAAAAAAAATGATTATTAGCAAATTATTGGTGGCTGCAGCCCCCCCCCCGGTTGCTATGGCCCTGTATATATGATGCTTGATTAACTGAGGAGGGAGTTGAATATTTGGAATCTCTAGATCGTCGGAAATGGCACTTTCGGAGTCTTCATTAATTTATTGATTATGATTCTAGAGATGCTATGAAATTTTATACTCGGAAAATGCACTTCTCCTGAGATCTTATCATCTGGGACACAAATAGGGAATAAAAATTACGGGTACTATAGATCTAATTACGAGAGCCATAACATACTGATTCCCCAAGCTGTCTTAAAAAAGTAGGATTTTATGAGAAAAAGTGGGAAAAAGTAGGAAAATCAAACAATTTTTAATAAAAACTAGGAAAAGTAGGAAAGTTGAAGAAAGTAGGAAAAAGTAGGAAAAGTAGGATGGCAAGAAAGCCTGAATATGTAACATTGTAATACGCTGATGGGTAATGTGGTTTTAATACGAAGAGAAAATACCAATCTAAAATGGATAGATGCAATAGGCTGAATTACGCTTATATTTAAAAGTTAAGAAAATATTAAAATACCACACACTAAATGTCTCTAAAAGGATCTAAGAATATTCTAATAATTAATAAGAATATTCTAATTTCAAAACGGTTAGTCCGAAATGCAACGTTAAATCTATGACTGGATCTAAGAGTCATATTAACAGTTTCACTGATTACGTGGTGGAAGAAGATAAAAGCTTATGGCTATCATCAGTCACTATTTCTTCAAATAGCTTGTCTGATCGTGAAAGACAGTCTCTTCGATGGCTGAGTCGTTGAGGTCAGTTGATTGTAAAGCGTCTTCATATGAGACCCAAGGTAAAATAATTCGCAATGCTCTCTTTTGGATCCGCTCCAAATCCCGACTGAGGTAATTTGTCAAACCATTATGGAATACAGGACTTGCGTATTCTAGGATTGGTCTTATGATCGTGTTTTGGCATTGGCTTCATAAAACAATGATCAGTGACTCGTTCTATGCAAAGATGTTTGCCAGGCATAGTTCATTGTCTTTCATGTTATACTGTATAATCAACCAATCACAAAGCCTGGTGGCGGCCCTTTACGAAGCCACTTGGCATCTATTGCTGTAAATATTAAGTCTTAAAAAATCCAAGGGAAAAAATCCACGTCAATTCCAGTTACTAGATGAATTTTTTTCTTTTCTTTATGTTTAAAGGGAACGCAGCATTCCAGTTCATCTCATTTTCGCGCATAGCAACAAAATACCAAAGCGAAAAGATAAAAATGTTTCACATCACGATTAGAGACTTCCCCTGTGCCGAAGACAATTTGTAGCAGACAGCACAAACTTTATAGAAAACCTTTTTAGCCATCATGATTGATTTTTTAGCCATCAATTGTCTGAAAACGTCACTTTTGCCTAACAATTTGAGCACGGTTTCTAAACGGAGCGAGACAAAGACGGAGCCTCTTGGCGGCTTCGTGTCAACAGCATCCTGTTCCACTTTAGCATTTCTTTATTATTTTTTTACTTTAGCATATTTTTATTATCTATTTATAATATTCTTTTTAATTTTCACTATTTGAGCTCGTTTTGCGAAACCGTATCGAAACTCTAACGGCTTAGTGTGAACAGAAGTAGTGTAGACGCCTTCATACAACATACAGGAAACGCCCGTACCAATACTCTAGACCTTTCCCCTTATGAGTGAAATTTTGATCTAGATATGCCTGGACAAAAATTTCATCACAGCTTGAAAGAGCATCACAAAATTACTAATATTCCGAAGTTTCGTTGCGAAATGTTGTAAAATGCGGATAATATAGCCTTGCGAAGTTTGCCGTTTTTCAGTCATTTTGCATTACAACCGGGTAATTGATAATCAGATGATCAAACTGATTACCAATTTCGCAACGAAACTTCGGAATGTTACTAATTCTGTGATGCTCTTTCAAGCTGTGATGAAACATTTGTCCAGACTTGTCTAGATCAAAATTTCACTCAAAAGGGGAAAGGTCTATTAGAGCGCTGTCTATTTTAAATTAAAGAGGCCGTCATGACGACGACACTTTTAAGACTCCAGGGACAGTTTGAAGGGCCTGCTCATACCAGAGCACTTACGTCTCGCCTGCCTTTGACGTCGCCTCGTAGTAATTTTATACACTATGGAAATTTACATGAGGAAACGGGCAGGGTGGCAGGCCAGCTTGGCTTGGTCCTGGGTAAGCTGAGACCGTAGGTAGGAGGGATAAAATATTTTCCACATGAACATGTTAACAATTTTCACTTGATGCTTATGTTTATTTTGCAAACAAGAATGTTGCTAAAACAATGCCTTCCTCTTGCAAATATTTAAAAATTATTAAACCCTTAAGTGGCAATGCGCCCTGATATGCCCTACTTTATTATTTTATCCACATTCTAGATGGATGCTCTGAGTGACGAAAAACACTAAAAAAATTGTTAAAACATTCGTTTTGTATGACTGGAATGTACAAGTTTTGCAAGTGCTAATTATATGTAGACTAACCATATTGAAATTTCATTTTGGTAAATGAGATGAAAAACTCCATATGCAAACACAGAAATATTGATCCTGCTAGGCAAGACATCTCAGTCAGTAAGCCAAGGATCATATAAACAGACAAAGCGTTCGGCAGGTTTGCGTAATCCTTAATTGGCAGCCATAGAAATAATAAATATAGAATGCGTACTTGATTACGAATCATGTCTCCACTTTTTCTCATGCTTGCCCTTTCAAATCTGCCATATTGCATTTGACTAGGAGTGAGAATTACAACGTATAAACAAAACTAAAGTTTTCATCATCGAAAAGTTTTGCCTTGCTGTCTAATTTGAAGTTTGAGGATATTTTAAAATATTAGGTTTTTATATCTATTATTTCTATGTTGACAACTATGGAAGTTTATAGGCATTTGTTCCTAATCCTGTGGATGTATCTGTACTAGAATAGGTCTATGAAGGTATTTTCAACTGCTGAAAATGTAAGGGAATTTTGTTACAATACAGGAAACTGAGAGAGGTTTCCATACTGAGAGAGGTGTCCATATTAGAGAGGTGCCTATATTAGAGAGGTGCCTATATTAGAGAGGTGCCTATATTAGAGAGGTGCCTATATTAGAGAAGTGTCTATATTAGAGAGGTGCCTATATTAGAGAAGTGTCTATATTAGAGAGGTGCCTATATTAGAGAGGTGCCTATATTAGAGAGGTGCCTATATTGTAGAAAAGTGTCTGTACTAGAGAGAGGTATCTAGATGCATTAGAGAAGTATTAAAAATGTGTCTGTATTAGAGAAGTGTCTGTATTAGAGAGGTGTCTGTATTAGAGAGGTGTCTGTATTAGAGAGGTGTCTGTATTAGAGAGGTGTCTGTATTAGAGAAGTGTCTGTATTAGAGAGGTGTCTGTATTAGAGAGGTGTCTGTATTAGAGAGGTGTCTGTATTAGAGAGGCATCTGTATTAGAGAGGTGTTTGTATTAGAGAGGTGTCTGTATTAGAGAAGTGTCTGTATTAGAGAAGTGTCTGTATTAGACTAGAGAGGTGTCTGTATTAGAGAGGTGTCTGTATTAGAGAGGCGTCTGTATTAGAGAGGTGTCTGTATTAGACTAGAGAGGTGTCTGTATTAGAGAGGCGTCTGTATTAGAGAAGTGTCTGTATTAGAGAAGTGTCTGTATTAGAGAGTGTCTGTATTAGACTAGAGAGGTGTCTGTATTAGACTAGAGAGGTGTCTGTATTAGAGAGGCACCTGTATTAGAGAGGTGTCTGTACTAGACTATTAGAGTCTCTGTACTAGACTATTAGTATTAGAGAGGCACTTGTATTTATAGAGAGGCATCTGTATTAGAGAGGCATCTGTATTAGAGAGGCATCTGTATTACAGAGGCGTCTGTATTACAGGTGTCGTATTAGTGAAATGTCCATATTAGAAATAAGTCGCTATCAAATTCTTCCCACATTATAAAATTTAGAAAATGCATATGTGAAATTGGCAACCTACTTTTTATTATTTCTTGTGAATAGCCAAGTAAACATAGATGGAAATGATCAAAACCTAGCTGGAAGAAGTGTCAAGTATTAAGTATGTGTGTAGGCCGTAGGTGGGTCTTTGTGGTATGTATGTGGTATGGGGTATGTGGCATGGGGTATGTGGCATGGGGGTGCATGGCCCTCCTAGAACAAACGTTCCAATCTACCTTCAACTCTCCTAATACTCCATGATACAGCCTCCCTACAGAATGATCTAATGCGACTGCAAACTCGTGAAATCTTGTGTGATCTTCCGGGGAAATTAATGTTTCCTCTTCCATAATTCGTTTTGCCAGCGATTTTCTTGTCATAGGAATATAATTATGTCTGATATGATACTTAGATCCATCGCTTTCTTCTTGTTGTACGCTTAGTTTTTGCGGACTGTCTTTCGGTGTCGAGTAATTGTTGGACATTTTCGATGTCGCTGCTTCGAGCTTTTGCGTCCATTTTGAACTGGAGTTACGAAGAAAGAGTTGCTTCGTTTGCACAAGAAAAGCTTCGGAAATTGAACAAAGTTTAAAAGAAAACATGTTGCTGTTGTTCTTGTTGTTTATTTCTCTATGCAAATGTTGAATATTCTTGCAGAATCTATTTTTGTTGTTGTTCGACCATTTTGGAAATATCCAGGGGGGGAGGGATGATTTGTTTTTATTCCATATGGAATATTTTAGTACGATTTGGAATAAATTATATCATCGAAATCCGATGATCTCAGTTATTATTTGACATTATTGATTATATCGATTTCATTATTGATCAAATCATAAAATTGTTACAATTGATGGTGGTCAACTTACGATTAATATGAGTATACAAATTAACTTTTTGATATTCACACCACACAACATTCGCCTAAAACTTGCGGCATACTTACAACTTGGGAGTTGTACACTTGTACTGTGTAAACCAATTGAAACCAAGCATACAACTCACCCACGAGTTTAATATGTGCTTGATTTCAATACAACTCAAGTTGTAAGCTTGTTGCATGCGACAGTTTTAGGCAACGTCGTGTGGTGTAATTCGTGTAAATTGCCAAATCGGTCTCAGAGCCTGGTTTCCATATGGTTGTACTTGTATAAATGGTCGTAAAAATAGAGTCACGATCTTTCTCAACGGCCAGTTTATAACAGTTTATACCTGTAAACCACGTACAAATCATAAGTATTCTCTAGTTATAATCACTCCGCGTATTTTTAGTTCTAAAATATTGTATTTCGGCTGACGAGAAAGATCGTGACTCATTCTTTACTCTTTAGTACGGGCCTAGAAGTGTGGCGTTTGAAAAACCATAACATAATATTCAAATATTTGGGGTTATTTTCCTTTTACAGTAAAAAGACGCAGACGTTTAGGTCTCCACTTGAAAAGTTTTTTTTTTCAAAAGGGGCACTTTCAGGACCTTTCAGTTTGGCAACTTTCATGGCTCGCGATAGTAGTTTTGAAACTATGATCAGATAGACCATTATTATCATTCCTGTGGTACAACATTTTCAGTGAGATCTAGAAGCAGGTAATCTTGTGAAATGGACGACCCTATGTAAAACCCGGATCTTCGTTGCTGCAAAAAAACATGTTCAAATCGTTTTTTCCGAAAACAACTCAAGAATATTAAAATCACCTTGGCCACATAATAATTTACATAATATACTGGAAGATTTGAATTTTTGGAATTGAATTTAGCTGAAATTTTGAAGGTGTTAATCTAACAATTAATTAATCATATGTTGTCAATATGACAGAATAATTAATAATCAATTATGATCGATAATTTTTGACAATAATATAATTCGTGATCATGTCTAAAATAAGCCACACCACTTGACAAATACGTCAATAAGCCCAATGATTTTATAATTTTAAAATATCTAATTAATTAGAAACGTTACCTATTTTTTTACACTACAACCACTAAAAAACTTTTATATATGGCGAATGTTTATAGGTAATTAAAATCAAATAAATGTTGTGAGAAAATGTTGTAAATTTGCGAATTCGTCTCAACCGGAAATGGCGAAGCGGAAATGGTTATTTGTTAGTCAGGGTATTCGTTCGCTCAAGACAAGCCGTGGAAGAAGCTTTGTTTAAAAGATATGAAATCCTAACTACAACTCAATTATAATATGGGTAAGCGTGTGTTTATTTGTTTTGTAGAAGAAGTATTGTGCTTTAAGTAATCGTTGTTCATTTTGTGAAATATCTTTGCAATAAAAACATTAAGTTGAACTTGATGGAATGTAGTTAATTCCATGTGGTTTTATGATTATTATTTTGTACTATTCGCATTTAAAATAACATTTTACGCTATTTTCTTGTATAAACGTAATTCCTACCAATAACTGAATAATATTTTTCTATCTATATGCTGCTGTTCTCGTTTGCTTGCCTCTGATGTCTCAACAACAGCGGTGAGGCTTATATTTTTATCCTACATTATTGTAAATTTAATACTAATTATAAAACTACAACGCATTAATTTGCTCTGTTAGAAAGTTCTAAACAACAGATACTCTCTCTGCTAACTTTAGGAAGTGAAGAAACTCGACGGTTATGTAGGATTTGCGAATCTTCCTAACCAAATATTTCGTAAAAGTGTCAAGAAAGGTTTCGAATTTACACTTATGGTCGTTGGTAAGTACATGGGTAGGGTTGCTTTTAGTAAAAGGCTCGAATAAGCATTCGCTCGTATCGAAAAGGAAACATATTTCGCTATGCTTGTCACTCTACTCAAATTAAGTATGCGTATGTATGTATTTTAATGTTTAAATTTGGCTATCTTCGTAATTAATCTTAATGTTTTATTAAATTCAAACTCTAATTTGGCCTGTCTGACATTTTGTTATGTTTCTTGTCTAATTACATATTCTACTCCGTTCTATGATATCCGCCTTTTTTTCTTGAGCCAATTTCAGTTTCCTTATTCAGAAATACCATAAATATTCTCGCCCATTCCTCCTTAAAATTCCGCATAATTTTTGCTCGAGTTTTTATTTGCTAAGAAAGTCGAACTAAGAGTAAATAATAAAATATTTCCCAGCGCTCTGTGCACTATGTCAATATTGCTCTGTAGCAAAATCACCCGAATATAAATATTTGCAAGGGCGAACCTACGATTTTACATTATAATGTAGTAATTTCCAATTAGAACATTTGGTATATACTTCTATAATAACCCAGCTCCAATATGTAAACTTTGTTTTAATTGTGTTTTAATTTAACCAAATTGTTGCGAGCTATTCTGTCAAGGTGCCATTGTATTTGCAAATGCTTAGTTTTGAATTTCTTAGTTTGTTTTAAGCGGGCGTTGTATGTTTGCTTTTCAATGCCGCTTGGGCTATAAAAACACTAACTACAACTAAAAGCTTCAATTGCGGATGAATTTTGAATAGCGCCAGGAGAATTTAACACCCCGTTGTTTGTAAATTTGAGTTTATTTAATTAAGCCCTCGCTTGTTTCCTAGCTGGGTCGTTTAAGCCGGCAATATGACCCTTCGGAAGCCGTAATGATATGTGCTATAATACATGTATTCCCAACGGTTTTAAATTCTTTGAATATCGCCAGTATGGTAGACAAATAATGTATCTTATATGTAATATATACAAGGTATATGTGGAATGATGTACATTTTTGTAGCTTCAATTTGATTGGTGCTTTCGTGGCCCCATGTTGAATTATTTGTGTTTTACTTCTAATTCCATTGCACTCTTTTATGATACACTGCAGTTGGTAGGAAAAACTACACAAAGAAAATACCGCATTCCTTTGGGCACTTGCAATGCCCCAGCTGATTTAAAATGAAACTGTATAATAATAATTAATCTGGCACATAACTTGTTTGTCCTGTATCGATGATCCCTTAGCGAGGTTGAATCTTGCAAAAGTGAAGTGTAAAACACTTTGTCTGTATTCGATGATTCACAATCAAATTCCACTTATTGTGTGGTCATATATGTGATGGAATTTTACAAATGATACAATTATATATGTATTTTGCAAATTCAGTTTCTCTTTGTTTCGAGACACAAGACTTCCTGACAAGTAAAACCCTGTTTTGTTCGAGCAAAAACCACTGACTGCCACTGTCGACATATTTTCTCCTGAGCAAAACTACATTGTATGTAATTTAACATACCAAAATGTGTGTGTTTGTGAAGAAATGACTTGATATGAGCAGTTTAGTTTCATATAGAATTATGTCATTGTTGATAAATAAAGATTGTGTGGTTATTAATTTGATAGTTATTTAGTACCGCCAACTTGGCAGCATGACAATATCGGTTTATAAATTAGTCATGCATTGCCATTCAATATGTTGTGTGTGTTTGTCTTAATAAGTGCCTCCTCGTGGCCCATGCTTTCGATAATAAAATACGACTTTCGCATTAAAAAAATTCCCAATTAACCAATTATGTTAGTATGTTCAAGTCTCTGCTTGACAAGTAAAATCATTTACTTTTGTGAATCATGTGTCATGCATCAATATGTTGTTATTATATCTTGTGCTTATACTAGTCCAGACTTAACTTTGTAGTGCCAAAGAGCAAATAATTTCTTTAAAACACACCCCATTTGAAGGTGCATGTGCTGTTATTTAAATATAAGCATGGTGCCCTATAAACTGCTATATTTTCATGCAAACTAAGGAAATTAATTTAATATGTCATTTTGACAAACATTTATTAGCCTGAAATCCATCCGAGTTTATCTGACAGGTGGAGTGCAGAATTTCCAGAACATGTACCCTATCTGAGTTCCAGCATTTCCAGTGTGCATTGGCCAAGTATTGGTAATTTTACTCAAAGCATTGCTTTGAACAGTATGGCTAATTATTTCAGTGTACACCGGCCCAGTGCACTTTGTTGCTCTGTATAACCTGTATAATGGAACAAGCAAAACTGTCATTTTACAGTAGCTAAAATGTCATTCATCTAAATAGCACAATTGTCATTTGGTATAATTTGTCATGCACTTTGTGATGTGCAATATAGCATAACGAAAAAGCAACAGCAATTGTGGGGCTAATAAAGCAAATCTATAATTATGTACCCCTTGCACATCTTGCTCAGAAAGATGTGGATGCGCCTTTTGTCAAACACCATTTTTTATGATGAAGAAACTATTTTAACCCTTTAAGTGGCAATGCACCCAGACATGCCCCTACTTTATTATTTTACTCTGTCTAATGCCAGATGATTTTACTTGTTGGGTAGAGTGCTGCCACTCAATGGGTTAAGGGCATATCAAGTTTATTTTAGGGATTGACTGCTAATTGGATTGTCCGGACAATAAATCGCATTTGACTGCACCCTAATATGCCCTACTTTGTCTAAAGCCAGAAGATTTTACTTGTCAAGAAGAGAGTGCTGGTGCTCAATGGATTAATCAGACCATCTGCGCATGTTAACCCATTAAGTAATTGCCATTTAGTGCTCAGGGCCGTTGCGAAGGGATATGGATTGGGGGGGTGTCGAAGGTCAAATTGCCGAGTGACGCCAGTTGAATTTGCCGAGTTTTTCAAACGTTTGTATAGGTAATGAGAAGAAAAGTTTGTATAGGTAATGAGAATCATATTGGTGTGCTAGTAACTGAGGGACACCAATATGGCTCTTGTTTTGAAATATGGATGCCTGTTCGTGGGTTGTTGCTAAAAAGGAATCGGGTTGCTTTATATATAAAATACGACATTCTAAGAACAAACAAATATATGGTCACAAAATCGAAAAACACAATTGCAATAACTGCAACCACAGCTCAATGATTAGCACTATTTTATTTTCGTGCGTTTGTTTTCAGATAGGAGTATTATTTTAATTTATTTATATTAAACATATAAAGCTGGAAAAAAATTTAAATTTACCATAAATTTATACTGTGTTTTCATAAGTCCTAAATCGAGACTGAAACTATGTGCACACGGGTCACGTTTTTGAGCGTTTTTGCAGTGCCGTTTTCAAATTTAGCGTTTAGGCGCCTTGTTCACATTGATCGTTTTTCTCGCAACATTTTCAGACAAAGCACTAGTTTTTTATAGTCTTCGTTTCCAAATTTAAACACGGAATTTCATTTTCGCCTTCTACTTTTCTGTTTACACAATAACAAAGTGTCAAAACGACCAAAAGTTTCAGACATAGAGAACGAATCTTTGGCATCGTTTTCACTATTTGAAACGTTTTTGCTTCCTGACGTCGTTTTCATACGTTTTCGTGTGAACAGAACCGTACGTGAAAAGGGTACTTTCAGTTTCAGAAATTAACGCATTACAACCAAAAACCGAATTTTGATGAATTTTGATGAATTTGACCTTTTTTATCCCCAGGCGCCGAATAGACAATTTATAATATTTTTGTATTTTGAGCAGTCTTAAAACTCTTAGTGCCGGATAGTGTTAACTGGGCTTTGTACGACCCGATTTTTCAAGAGTTTAATTAAATTTTATGCGTCAGAA